GGGTAGATTTCTTTGCAATATTGCTGTAGGGAACAGAAGTGGTTGGAAGAATGCCAGAGAATTGAATGGAAGTTTTTTCTGATGTGGAAAAAAATGGTAAAAAAGTATGTTATTTGCATTCTTTTTTCTTAAATGGTACATTTTCATCTCAGATAAGCATGAGGGACATTTCCATGCCAGCATCTTGCAGCTCAGGCACAGGATCCTTTGTGGATCCCAGCCCATCATTCCCTTCCTGCCCCACATTCCCATGCTCAGGCTTTGTGGATCCCAGCCCATCATTCCCTTCCAGCCCCACTTGGAGTGCTGGGTCCTTCAATACCTCTCTGCTGCATGAACAATTTACTTGATCTGCAGAGAAGACAATATTCCCAGCAGGACATTTTTTCCCAGTGAGTCACTCTGCCCTAAATTTAACCTTCTGGATACTGCGGATTTTTTCTTAAAATTTCTTTACAAAATATAATAGCCTGGCTAAAGCTTTCATGAAGTATTTTCCAGTCACTCAGTGGCCAAGCCCTCTGACTAGTTTGTATTTCAGCCCAGAATACCTTTGATAATCTTTGCCAGTATCCAGTGTTGGTGGTCTTAAAATTCTACAACCAAGTGGAAAACTGTTAAGTGCTCAGGCTTCAGAGCATGCCTAATTAATTCTTTCCAGGGTTTCAGTCCTTTAAAAAGTGTTAAAAACACGGATTCAGTGTATCATTGAATATTGCATGGTTCTGTGGAAATAAATTGCATCAGTTTGATTCCTTTAGGAGTTCAGAGAGTTTTTGCTCTGTGCCTACTCTGGAAGTTTACAGGAGTCTGTGGAAAGTTCAGGTTAAAATGGGCAAAAGTTGTTAATGAGGGGGAGTAGCTGGATGGCAAAGCGAGAGCCCAATAACCACATCAGAAAACTTTGCAGAGACATCAGTCAGCTGCATTTAAAAATCAGGCAAAATCTCCCCTATAGTCACAACTCCAAAAGCATTTCCTCATGTGAACTTTAGTATTTTTATTTTGAGCAGAAAACCACACTTGTGTTTTTTTTTATTTCATGACTGCTTAAGGAGATTATAATGACTTAATCCTGGAAAGGGCTGGCAGAGCTGGAGAAGCAGGTGAGGCAAATTTGAGCTTTTTTCTCTGCTGACATCAAGTCCTGGAGGGGATTCAGCCTCAGAAGCACCGTTAAGGATCTTTCAACATCCAGGCTTATGTGCTTCTTCCAAGAGACGTGGAGACGGGAGAGATGAAAAAGGAGCATGTGATGGAGATGAACTGGAGATTATCATTTTAATGCAGAATTAAAGGGGCAAATGTCAGCATGGGTATCATTGTTCTCGCTTCCAGCACTGTTCAGCCTGGGGGAATGCTCTTTGTGCAACCATTGGGGATGTTGGTGGCTGTTCCAAGGTAAAGTTGGCAGTGCTGGGGTGCTCTCATTGTGGTCTGGTTGGCTTTGCTGTGCTTGGTATCTTGTTCAGAAGTTTGGGGAGAAAAAAGTAAAAGAAGGGCTCGAGAGAGATTCACTGACCTACCTAAGGAAACACCACATGGGATGCTTTTTGGAGCAGGGCAGATCATAGAACCATGGAATAATTTATTTTGGAAAAGCCCTTTGAAACCATGGAGCCTGACCATTCCCTCACCACTGACCCATGTTTCCAAGTGCCACATTCACAGAGATTTTAAATCTCCCCAGGGATGAGGACTCCCCTTGCCTGAACCATCTATTCCAGGATTTCACCACCCAGGATCATCAGGCCAAGCTCCAATGAGGAAAGGTCTGCAGAGCTCCAAAGGGACTCTGTGAAATCTCCAAAGGCAGCCCTGGAAACTCATCTCTTTTTCAAATTCCAAGAAATCCTCTGCTTTCTGCTTGAGAGACTGAAAAGATGTTGATCTATCTACATCAAATGTAAATTTTTCTGTGAGCACGGATCAAACTACAGGAAATAACAACACAGACTGTGCTGATGGAGGCTTTGATCAATTCAAAGGTAAAACACCCAATTCTGTGAAAAATCCGAGCTGACTTGCCCCAGCTTCTTGCTGGAATATATATATTTGGAGAGTCACAATTTTGATTTAAAAGCTTAAGGGAAAACAAAAAGAAATATTTGGGGTCAATGAGGAATTAATAAAATGCTCAGGATACAAATTTCCTTTTCAACCACTGAAGTCCTGGAGCTGCCCATGGTGGCACCATCATTTGACCTGTGGATAAAAGGATGCTGAAGGCAAGGTCCCTGCTGGCACCAGGAGAGGGAAGGGAAGAAAGGAAGGGCTGTGTTCCTTGGGAGTTAAATGGTGTTTGTGTCTGCCTTTGCATGGAATGTGGTGCTGGGTGGTAAATTCACCCCCCTGGCTTTGGTGTGCCATTCCCAAAATCCCAACACAGGTTCCAAAGGACAAATATCATCATTCCCACTTCCTACAGGCTGTGGTAGAGACCACATGGTCTCATTTCCCAGGAATTTTTTGGATCCTGAAGGTGATGAGGACGTGCTTGGGGCTGTGACAAGGAATCATCCTGGAATCACAGGATGGTTTGGGTTGGAAGGGACCTTAAAGATGATCCACTTCCAAGCCCTGCCATGGGCAAGGATGCCTTCCACTGGACCAGGTTGCTGCAATCCCAGTCCAACCTGTCTTTGAAAAGAAACACCTGTCAGGAGTGGGATTTCAGTGCATGGAGAGACATTTCAACCTTGGGAACTCAATTCCTGTTCACAGCCTCAGAACCTGGAGGATGTTTGGCTGGGCACAGGGCATCCTGTGGAGAGCCAAGGCTGGGCACCAGCAATGTTCTGCCTCAGCCATGCAGGTTTGGCTGCCAATGGGACCCAGAATTCCAGAGGACACTTCCAAATGGCAAACAACACTGACTCGGGATGTGCACTAGCACAAAAACAGCAGCGCCAAATACAGCTGGCTCAAAACACACCCAGAAATGTGGAAGTGTGCATTGATCCCTTTTTTAAACCAAAAATACACAAGTGTCCACTTTGCATTTTAATTTTATGTAATTGCAGTGTGAGCTACAGAAAAAATCCCCACTCCTGGTGTGCAAATCCTTGATTTCACCCAGCTCTGGGTGTTGCCAAAGCTCCTGTCAGTCGTGTCCAGCTTTGAGGAGGAGATCACAAGAGGAGATGGCAACCAATTGTCATTGTCACTTCAGACAGGTGATTAAATGGCTGATTTGGAATTGCACTAATTGATTATTTAGGTGACAGATAAGTTGTGTTTTGTATTTAATCAGCCATTTTATGTTCACTACAAAGAGAGCAGTGAAGCACCAGTGACTGGGAGATGGGTGTATTTCAAAACTATAGGAAAAGAGTGAATATGCTGGGATGAGGTGGGAAGGGGTAATTTGTGTAGGAATGGGATGAATGGAGGTTTAGGGAGGTTTGATCACAAGAACCTACATGGAAATCCCTGGCAGAGCTGGGAGTGTTTCCAGTGGCATGGCAGGGCAATGGGGTGGACAGGGTGTGTTTATTCCTGCAGAATCCCAGCTCTGTGGCTGAGTTTGACCCTGCATGATGGTAAATCTGCACCCTGTCCCTGCTCTTCTTTCCCCTGTGTCAGTGAAGGGATTGCTCTGGATCCTGTGGAATTCCTCACATGGTCAGGTTAAACCAGGAGCAGCTCTGCCCCAGGACAGTGAGGGAGAGAGGTCTAATATGTTATTTAACAGCTGCCCCTGCAATGTTTAAGAAAGACAATGCAGAGGATAAAATAAATTATTATAATTCAAATTCTGTTCTGCTTATAGAAGCACAACAGAAGATTGAGAACATTCATCACTCTGTATGCCTCAATAAGAAGTGTAGTCAAAATTTTTCCCAACCCTCTCCAGGTTCCCCAACCAGTGTGCAGTTACTTTGAGATACCCATATGTTCACAGGTAACATCAAATATTAAATTGATTTGGAAATTAATTTGGTAGCACAAATTCCTATAGGATAGGGAAGTCAGCATCATCACCCCCATGTTTAGAGCAGGTCATGACTAAGGCTAAGGTCAGAAAATCAGAACTTGATTTTTGACTGTAATTTAAATTTCTTCTCCCAACCTCCTGGCATGCCACAGGAATATCGTTATTGCCCTACAGAAATTATAATTTTCCTAGTCTGGCATCCCATTCCTGGCAGTGATCTACAGCAGATGCTCCAGCAGAAGCCAAAAACATTGGGAAGCAAATGGCAGTGAAATTCCATGCAGGAATGTCCTTGCTCCCAGGAGATTCTTCTCCCACAGCAGGGTGGGTGGGTGTGAGGGGTATGGATCCATTTAATTCACTTTTCCATGGCAGGAGGGAGAACATCATTTACAGGACATCCCCCGTGTGTCCGTGTGTGCACCTGGCTGGATGCTCCTTGTCCAGCTCCGTGTGGACCTGCCTGGTGCAAAGGTGGTGATTGCACCCCTCCCAGGAGCACTGGGATATTTGAGATCTCCCAGTGTTTTCAGGTTTTTCTTGCATCCCTGAAGTTACTTTCTGTAAAAGCCACATCAGAGTTTTGCTCAGAGGAAGGAGGAGACGCAAATCCCAGAAGTGCCATTTTTGGGGTGTCACCACAGTGGCTGAGGACACCACGGGCTCCAGGGTGTGGGGAAGACCTTTGAGCCCACCTCTGCTCGTGTGTGCAGGGAGGGATGGGAGTAACTCCCTGGTGCCCCAGGAATTCTGCACTCGTGACCCAGAGCTGTGTCCTGAGGGCTCCTGGCTCTGCTCCTCTGCAGCAGCAGCCGCGTGTCCCCTTGGATGGCTCTGTAGCTGCTTGTCATGATCCTTAATGCCGCAGCTGCTCGCTCACACCAGGTCATCTGCTTTTATTAGTCCTGCCCCACCACCCACTGAAACCCACACCAGCCAGGAGATCATTACCCACACCCAAAAATAGCATTTCCCTGGCCCCGCTCTCCCAGATCCCTGGGAAACTCGGGGCTTTTCCTCCTTTCCTGACTTCCCCCTGGGCTGGTTTCCCCCCTGCTGCCCCATGAAGGCCGGAGCAGCTGCCCTGGCAGCCGGGATCCTCGGGGGCACCGGGGTGCTGCTCTTCCTCATCGCCTTTGGCACGGATTATTGGCTCCTGGCCACCGACACCTGCGGGGTCCTCGAGCATGGGAACAGCACTCTGAGCACCGCCGGGGTGAGCTCTGAAATCTTGTGCTTTGAAAGAACTTGCCTAAATGATTGCAGATCTTAAAATTTTGAACTCTCTGGTAATGTTTATGCTCGATGAAAGTGACCTGTTAATGTAAAACGTCAGCCTGAGGTAAAACTTTAAATTCTTTAATATCCAACATGGCTTTTCCATAATACTGAAGGTTTTGACTGGAGTGAATTGTGTCTAGGAAGCATTAAGAGATCTCTGTAATCTGGCAGATATGAACATTAGAGAATGAAAGGCAAAAATGTAAGAGCTTTAGCTGTTGACAGCATTTCCCTCTAAAGACAAAAGATATCTCCTGATATTTGCCATTAGAAGATTTCTCCCTCTGTAGTTTTTTCATTTAAAACTAGTTCACGTTTAAAAGTGTGGGCCTTGGCAGTCACTTCCATCTGAAGTGGCACAGCTGCAGCACAGACACCAAACTAAAGAGAACATCAGACACAGAGCAGAGCAGACGGGTTCCTGCCCATCCGACCAGTGGCCTGGATATCCTCAAAGTAAGGTTTAGATAGGATTTTAGTTAGCAGGAAATGTAATTTTCAAGGGACAGCTTGATATTTCAAGGGACAGCTAAGGGCTGGTGTCACTCGTTTATAGATCCCTCAAGTTGGATTCTTGCTGCACTTGCTGTTGTCTAACTCTTCAATGAAATAACAACCAGATCAGTTCCTCAAACCACCCACTCCCCCGAAATGTTGTTGTGCCAATCAATGTGTGGTTTCCATTACAGAATGACAGGAAGATCCTCGTTGTGTGCAGACTTTTTGTTACTTCAAAGTTCAATCCAATTAGGTTTGATTTTTTTTCCTGGTGCAGTGAGTCACCTTGGGTAGGCATCATGATGCCAGCAAGAAATATTTTTTCTTTCATTTCAGAATCCCATAATCAAACGTAGGGCACTGTTTGCTTGAGTCATGGTTCCAAATGACTTTCCTAACTAAAAAAAAAAAAAATTATTATGGAAAAATGCCTGGAGAAGTGAAACAGAAAACAAGGTCTTTAGTTTCAAGCAGCTCAGTAAAGCCTGGGGATAGCAGAGACAGAGAAGTGCTGCTTGTTTTTTGTGTACTTGGGAAGTGACAGTGTTAATTATTTCACATTTTAGTTGTTTTTAAAAGTGGAGAGAGCAGAGGTGATGCACTGCACGACACAAATAAGCATCTCAAACATTTCAGAGATGCTCTTAGCCAAGTGCTGGGGAGCCTGACGCTGAGGCAGTGACTTCAAAAGCACCAGGCACAAATAGGAACTGCTCTTACTCTTCCCCCTGAGCTATTTTATTTCTATTTCAGACACTGTTTCTATTATTTCTGTTGCTGGTTGTGGATAACAGGCTCTGTTTTTACCTTCTCTGCCCTTTCTTAAACTGTCAAATCCTGTCCCTTACAGATAAGGATGGGCTGAGTATCTGGCAAGCTCAGTGAAATGTGGATGCACCAAGTCAGAGCCACCAGCTGAGGAGGTTTCAGGGCTGAATGTTCCCCTTGTCATAGTCAGGGTTTCATCCTGAAAGTAAAAGGAGAATCAGGTCAGAGCTCTGGAAGCTGCTATAATGTGGTACATAAAACATCGAGGAGAGGGAAGTAAAGATCTCTAGGGAGAATTCAGAGCCCCTTCCAGGGCCTAAAGGGGCTCCAGGAGAGCTGGAGAGGGTCTGGGGACAAGGGATGGAGGGACAGGACACAGGGAATGGCTTCCACTGCCAGAGGGATACTGGGGAGGAATTCTTCCCTGTGAGGCCCTGGCACAGGTGCCCAGAGCAGCTGTGGCTGCCCCTGGATCCCTGCAAGTGTCCAAGGCCAGGCTGGACAGGGCTTGGAGCAATGTGGGATAGTGAAAGGTGTCCCTGCCATGGCAGGGGTGGCACTGGATGGATGGGCTTTAAGGTCCCTTCCAACCCAAACCTATTAACCTGTGACAGGATAATTGCCTCTAGCACCTCCCTGCTGAGTCCCAGCTCCTTTCTGTTATTCACAGGGGCCATTCCTCTATGGACATTCCCCATCTGTCATAAAACTTAATTTTGTCACAGTCCTGTCTCCTTTACCAAACTGTGTGTGGGGAAGATAAAGCTGGTTTTGAGGATAATTTTAGTAAGTTATTTGGTAAATCTTCCATGACTGGACTTTGCAATATTGTCCCTTCAAGAAAGACCAAAATCTTGTGCTGGCAGGTCTGGTCTGGGGGTTGGAGGAAGGTGTTTGTGGAGTAGAACGCACCCAGGAGGCCCAACTCCCTGAAATTCCCATCCAGCTCTGGCCAGCAGGGGTTTAAGGACAGGAGAAAAGGAGGCAAATGGTTTGTGCAGGGCTGCAGGAGGATTTGTTTTCAGAACATTTTGTAGCTGTGACACAGCAGAAAGTCAAAGACAGCAGCTCCTCTGTGTTCTGCAATCCCTTCAAAACTGATTCAAAAAACAAAAGAAAACCCCATAAAAAATTAAATCAATGTCTGTCTAAGCAAAGTTGATACCCCTTGTACCATGATGTTCCCTGATTCAGCCTGAACTTTCATTCCTCCCCAGGCTGAAACTCCAACAGAGGCTGGGAATGAGATCCTCACTTTCCACCACGAGGGTTTCTTCTGGCGGTGCTGGTTCTTTGGTGAGGGCCACCCCGAGAGCATCTGGACCTTCTGGTACAGTGAGTACAATGCCACACTCCCTATCCACAGCACTCCATCACAGCTTAATGGGAAACAAACACAGGAAGTGCTCCCAGGGATGAGGAGACAGTTTTTATTTCATTTTTGTCATTCTCATCTTCTGTCAAAAGCAAAGCTGGCTCACCCTTTTTGTGCCCTTTCTATGCTCATTTTTTGACTTGGATTTTGATCTCAGAGGGTTGTTCACTGAAATGTTGCAACCTCATGAGGCCATTTAATTGATCACCTACAAGGTTATGTGAAATGGTGGAGATGCTGATCCTTCCTCCCCCTCCCTCCCAATACCTCTTGATGTTTGTGTTCAGCAAAGTTCTGTAAATGTGAGCCCATGCCCTTCCCAGCATTGCTCTTCTGTCCCTGTTTTCTGCCTTCCAGGTGCCCAGCATTCCCAGCTCCCACTGGTTTCAGCACTGGGTAGGCTGGAACTGCATGGTCATGGTGTCCCTGGGTGCCAGGACCAGTGGTGGAAAGCCATTTTATTATAAGTTCTCACCCTTTTTACTTTTTAAGATCATTGAAATTACACTTGAGAATAAACAGAGAGGGATGCAAAATCCTTTATTTTTTTGGAAATACGTTCACTCTTCAAAAACAAATTGAAGGAAGGGATGAAACCGGTTCTGTGACCCTGATTGGTGCCACCCTGGTGTCTCTCGTGCAGTGAAGGGTTGGCCCAGTGAACCAGGTGTTCCCACCAGGAATAGGAAAGGAGTGAGACCACACCAGGACACACCTGACACCAGCCCTGCTGGGGACCACAACTCTACAGTAGGATTTGTGATTAAACCCCCCCCCCCCCAGATTTTAAATAAATTCTGCAAAGGCTTCAAACACCACACAAACCTTGGCCCTGTGCCCACCAAGGCCTCGACGGAAGATGTTCCTGAGCTTGTGGAGCAGCACAATCCCCTCAGAGGGCACTTCCCTGCAAACAGTGCAGGTTCCCACACTAAATTTACTCTGCAGTGATTAAAATTTCAAATGACTTCGCTGTCCCCCAGCCCCTGACCTGTTTCCTGTAAAATCTTGCAGGAATCCTTCCCGCCACCACTCAACAATGGGAGGTTTTTCACACAGGAAATTTGTGATAAAAAAGGACAGGCTTGAGACAGGGAGTTTGCTACTGAATTACATTATATGGAAATACATAATATAATTTTACCTGAAGTAAAATGAGTCACTCTGATAACTGGCAAATTTTTTGCTACTTCTTTAGGTATTTATTATAATAGGATTGATCATGGCAAATTAATTTGCTGGTCTTGTGGATGTAATAATTAATTCAATAGGTATTCCATAGTCAATTTAGCATGAACTAATGTCCACCTATTATAAAGTGCTCCTTTGAGCTGGGGAACATATTTAAATAAGTGGCCAACCATTAATTAATTCATTTAACATTCATTCTATTACTGTTAATCATGATAAGCCTCAGTGGTATTAATATTGATGGGGCACTTCCATTCTAATTGTGCTTTTCCTTCTCACCAGCTGGAGGTCTTGGAAGTGCCTTATTCTGGTACCCAAACATTTTGACCCTTCCAGGTGGTCAGGCACATTCTCTAGAGGAAAACAGCAACAAGAATATTGACACTGACTTCAGTTGTTCCATTTTTCATGATTTTTGTCCACCTCAGAGTCAGTTTATGAAGATGAGAAGATGTCCAAGAAGCAGTCTCAGATTCTCTGATATCTTCCCTCTTTCATAATTATTATTTCTATTTTTATTTTTCTCTCTAACCAAGATTTATTATATTTTTTTTCCTCCCCAGCCTTCTGAGTTCACTGAGGGTTTTGCAGGTTTTGCACGACAGCACATCACCACGTCAGTACTGTAACTGATTCTGCAGGAAATAAAAGCAAACTGGGATTTAATTCTTCTTTTTCTTTATCTTTTCCAGCCAGCCAAGCCCACCCCAAGTTCTGCATGCATGGCTACCTCTTCCCCATGCCCATTGCTGTGGGACCTTTCCCCCATCCCTCCTATGACACAACTGCAGGTGAGTTTCTTTCCTTCTCCCCAGCAGGTCCTTTTCCAAGGGACCAGGCAGACATTTGGGATGTGTGTCAGTGCTGTGGTTCTCCTGTTGTAAATTCACACAGCCCAGACCTCTGGAAAGCTCCTTCACCAGCCAGTCCTGCTGGCTTGGCTGCCCAAGTGCACCTTGAGAGGTTCTCCCATGTTTTCTCCTCCAGCCTGGAGTGCTGGGATGGGCTGAGCTCCCTCCCAAGGGTCTCAGCTCCTCCAGGAGAGCAGGGCAGGAGGGTAAATCCATTCTCTCCCATCTCCTCTCTCATTGGGAAGAGATGGAGCCAAACCACCCAAACCCAGCCTGAGTGCTGACTCCATCCCAGAATTGGTTTTCTGGGGTAGCTCAGGTGTTGATTTTTTTGCAAGACAAAATAAACAAGCACTGGAAAAATGGTTAAAAACCAAATTGTTAGAAAACCCACGTAAGTGACTGGCTTATTTTTAAAGCAATGAACGCTACACAGGTGGAGAGCTTCCTTTCAATCGGGTCCCTTTTTATTTATGTTTCTCTATATTTTCCAAGTTCTTTAATGAATCAGTTGCTGTTAGGAATTTTAATTTGCTAAATTGGTGGCAGCAGTTAGAATTAATTCAATGATCTTTTTTGAAATGAATTGATTTCTTTAAATAGTGTGCATCAGTCTGCCTTGCCTCCGGGGATGCAGGGCAGGCATTCTGCACAAACAAACATCTTGACCTTTTCCTTAGCCTTTAGTAGTACCTTTTTTTAGTTTTATTTTATTTTTTTTTAGTTCTCTATGAGAAATTAATTAAAAAAAAATATTGTCAGTAGGAGCAGGCGAGGAAGGGCAGCTCATTTCTTTGGCTGTGCAGAATTCCTGCCCCGGGGTGTGGAATGGATCCGAGGAGATGTGGAGGGAGGAGGAGGAGGAGGAGCTGGTGCGGGATGAGCAGTGGGATTGTTTCTGCTGGGGAGAGACGGGCACAGTGTCCCAGTTCTGAATGATCCTGCTGATAAACACATACACATACACACACACACTGCTTTTTCCATCCTAATAAAGGGCGCTGGAGGCACCTGTCCCTGCCTGCCAGCCCCGGCTGTGGAACCCTCCCAGATGTGTCCCCTGGGACAGTCCCAGGACCATCTCGGCATTCTCAGGGCTCTTTTCCCACCCCAATGGTTCCGTGGCTGTGCTGGGATGTGGGGGCTGCACCCGGGGCTCTGCCTGTCCCCATCACCTCGGGGGACCAGGGGTGGCTCAGGGGGTTGGAGCACTCTCGGGTTTTGGTTGTTAATTGCTGCCCTGAGATGTGCAGGATGTCCCTGCTTCGGCCTGCGCGGCTGAAGAACGAGTCTGGACTCTTCACTTTTCGGTCTTGAGGTTGTTTATTATTTCTTATCTATAAAATTTTCTTTCTGCCCAATCAAGATCTGCTCAGCAAGGCAGCCACAGGCACTCTGTGTTGTCCTTTTATACTACAAACTACGTATAACATATTTACACTTAATTCCCAATACCTATTGTCGGATTTTGGTGCTGTCTAGATGGTCTGGGAAAAGCCCAAAGATGGCCTTGGGCCCCCGGGGTTCGAAAGGACGAGAGGAAGCTTCAGATTTTTTCTCGGTCTCGGTGTTTATTAATTGCTTATCTAAAAGATTTTCTCTTGGCCTGACAGAGTTTTGCTCAGCAGTCAGCCATGGGCACACACTGAGAGCCCCTGGGGCGGCCACCTATCTTTATACCCGGAGTTACGTATACAATATTTATCATTTTTCTCCAATACCCTCTACCCTTATTAACCAGTGTTCCCCTAGTAAGGTCCAATCCCGGAGTGCCAACATCACCACAGAAGATGGAGGCCTAGAGGAAGAAGAAGAAGGAGAAGGGCACGCCCCAATTCCTCCATCTTACCTCTCTAGACCCCCCTGTACAGGGATCTTAAACCCTGTATCTCACACTCCAATTAACTTGTCCCTTCACCATTCACCCCAGTGAAATCCTCCCGTCCTCATACTGATGTCATCTCCCATGTGGGATCAAAGTCCAGCCACCAGACATTTCTGGCAACATTCCAGGACTCCCGAGCCCCCCAGTTCTGAGAGACTGAGATCCCACACCTATCACCTATGTTAGACAGTGCACCTCTACTGTAAACCAATCCCAAAGTGCCGACATTACTGCAGAAGATGGAGAACAAGAAAAAGAGGGAGAAAGGCTAGACACACCCAAGTTCCTCCATTTTGTCCCCATAACCCCCATACCAAAAATCCTGAAATCTACATTTTCACCCTGTGATAATTTTATTATTACACCATTCAAACCTCTGTGACTTTCAGGTCCTCATACAAAGCTGGCAACTTGCTCCAGGGGTCAAAATCAAATCCCCAGGTGCTCTGGGCTGCGTGCCAGGGTCTCTGAGCCCCCTTGTGCGGTCCTGGCAACTCTGGACACCTGGAGGGATGCGCTGAGTTCTGACAGAGCACCAGGCTCCTCTCCTGCCCCAATCCTCTGCAATTCCCTGGGATAACACCCTGCCGCTGACTCCTTTTCTTTCCAACCAGCCCTTCCTCATTTGCCAGGGCTGACAAAGCAGGAGGCTGCCCAAGGAGAGGGGTCCTGCAGCTATTACCTGCTCCAGAGATAATTCTGCCTTATCTGCATCCTCTTAGGCTCCCTGAGAGAAACGGGTGATGGGAGGTTAAACATGAAAATGAATTCTGTGGTTTTGGAGAGTTCAAGATACTTATCTCTCCCTAAGTGGCTCTCCTGACAAAATGGTTTCAAATGAGGAAAACGCATCTTCTCTGTATCATTTTTCTTTCAAGTGTGAATCGTTTCAGCACTTCCCACTTGCCTGTGCTCGGCTTAAATTGAGCTGGAGCTTCTGGAAAACAACTGGCAGGGTGAGATGGTGTGGTCCAAGGGATCAGGTAGATCAGGGGATGGGGAGCAGGGTATCAGGGGGTCTCTGCTGGAGGACCACTCCCTTTGGATAAGGTTTGTGGCAGGGTCTGCAAGACACTTGGCTACTGGAGACTTGAATGAGTGGGCTGCATCCCATCCTGTTCCAGCTGGTGGGATGTGATGGACCAAGCTTGCTCAGCTCTGCCTGGGGTGTTGTATGAAGTCATAGCCCCAGATTCCTGGGATGGACAGGCAGCTGCTCTCCTGCCCCTTCTCTTTCCCAGAGCCTAACAAGGCCATTAATGGGGGAACTCATGAGCTCCTGTTGTCCCTGCAGTCCTACTAGCAAACACTGCTTTTATTTTAAACCAGGAGGCTGGCACCTTCCCGAAGTGTTAATTAAAAGTGGAACAAAGCTGTGGTCTGAATCCACCTCTTCAAATTTTGCTGTTTTCTTTCCTTTCTTGCCAAGCTTTTCCAACCTTCCCCGGCACAGCTAAGAGCGGTGTCCTTTCCTCCTCCTTTGTGTGCCTCCCTGGCAAACCTTCCCAACCCTTTGGCCTCATTCCAGTCCCATTCTGTGGGGCATGACATTCCCCCTGAACCCGTGGCTGTTCCAGGTGCCCTGGCAAGGCTGCAGCCTCAGCTTTGCCTGACACAGCAACGTTGGTTTTTTTGCTGTTGTTGTTGTTTTACTGTTGCCAAAGCAGGAGTTAAACATGGCATCATTAGGTAAAAAATATTTCTGAGGTTGAAGTTCCCCTCTTTCCCTCTCCTTTCTGACCGGCTTTGCTCCTGTTGCAGTGTACAGAGGATTTTGGACGGCGTTCATCCTGCTGGCTGTGGCTGCCGGGCTCGTGGGGGGACTCCTGCTGGTCTGTGGGGTTCCCTTCTCCAGCCCCCACTCCTACAAAGTTGGGGGAGGATTCCTGCTGCTCTCAGGTGAGGGACAGGGCAGGGGCAGGGTGGCTGTGGAGTGGGGGCAGGCGGGGATGGAGTGCTGCCGTGGGAGATGGGGCTTTGATGGGAGCAGCAAATGATTATTTCCCTCTTCCCCTCTGGATTTAAACCCCTGGGAGCTCTGAGCTATCTGGTCCAGTGGAAGGTGTCCCTTTATGGGCCTTTATGTGTCCCTGTCTGTGGCCTTTATGGTCCTTATGACCTCCTTTATGGTCCCCTTCCAACCCAAACCATTCTGTGATTCCATCATTCTGTGCTCAGCCAGGCTTTAGCAGGATAGTCCTTAGTTCTAGCAGGGCTGAGATTTTAAAAAATCACTTTGTTTTTACTACTCCTGTATGCAACCCTTTCATTTCAGCAAAGCCTGCAGGTGTGTTAAGTCTGGGCAGCATCAGCCCTGCTCAGTTCCCCAAAGTCAGGCTTTGCATTTGGGCTGCTCCTCTGCTGTTAGCTTTGATAGAGCTGGAAACCCACGGAGGGATGAAAGGCAAACCCCATGATCCAAAATGGGAGGGCTGGCTTAAGGAAACCTGAAAAGATGAAACGATGGCACTGCAGGAAAATGAATTAAAAATAGGCATTTATTCATTTTTCCCACTGCTGTTACCAATGATTCCACTGAATTATCACTTGGGCTTTTTCCTTTTCTGTATTTGAGAGTTATAACTGGCTTCAATATTAGAGATACTTGATTTATACCAGTGACTCAAACTCAGAAAAAAGCTCTTTTATGACTCAAGCAGCCACAGGCTGGAGCTCAGTTGAGCTGAGCCAAGTGAAGAACTTTGTAATGGAATCAGATCTTTCTGTGAAAAACCACTGCTTAATTGCAGATCCTTCACCAGCTCCTGCTGCCCCACAATGAACATTAGTGAAAATATTTAAGAAAGGTTCTGACATTTATTCATGTCTCCATCTGCCACATCTACACAACTTTTAAATTCCTCCAAGGATGGTCATTCTATCCCTGCCCTGGGCAACCTGTGAGAGAGGTGGACAATGTTTTCCTTGGAGAAATTCCTGCTGATCTCCAACTTGAGCCTCCCCTGGCCCAGCCTGAGGCCGTTCCCTCTGCTCCTGTGGCTGATCCTGGGAGCAGAGCCCAATCCCTCTGGCTGTCCCCTACTGTCAGGAGCTGTGCAGAGCCACAAGGTCCCCCCTGAGCCTCCTTTGCTCCAGGCTCAGCCCCTTCCCAGCTCCCTCAGCCCCTCCTGGGCTCCATTCCCTCCCCAGCTCCATTCCTTCCCCTGGACTCTCTCCAGCCCCTCAGTGTCCCTCTGCTCATGAGGGTCCCCGAGCTGCCCCAGCACTGGAGGTGCCCCAGCAGTGCCAGCACAGGGGACAGCACTGCCCTGATCCCCTGGACACCATTCCTGACCCAAGCCAGGTGCCACTGGCCTCCTGCCCACCTGGGCACCCTGGGCTCATGTCCAGCTGTTGGCACCCTCTGGGCCTTTTCCACAAACAGATTCCCAAAGCTGTAGTTTTCCATGGGGTTGTTGTGATCCCATAAGGGATAATCCAAGGGCTGTACCAGGGCAGGAAGCTTTCCCTTCCCATCTGCAGTCCAAGCTCCCAGGAGCAGCAGATGTCCCTGAGGAGTGTGTCCAGCCTGCACATTGGGCAGAAATATCACAGAAAAGGATGCCGAGTAATACTCAACTGTCTTCCTTTTTTTTTTTTTCTTTTCCTTTTTCTTCTTTGCTTTTCCACTTTATTTGACTACTCCTTGATTAAAAGGCTGGGGCTTCAAATGTGACACTTTTTGGAAGAGCTGATTATGCATCACATAAACCTCTTGGCATTAGACAAAGATGCTGCTGTTAAAATTGAAGTTTGTATTAATGCAGCTTCAATATGAACAGCAATCATTGTTATTAACAGTCGTTCAGGAGAATGAGTTCAGCTGGAAGACACTTCCTGCTATATTTTCCACTCAAATGATAGCAGAAGGATTCAATGTGTTTTTCAGCAAAGTTTCCTTAGTGTTTCAACTGATCCTTTTATTCGGGGGGCTTACCCTGATCTCAGACCTCTGGATCCTGCTTGGCCCTGGCTTCTGGATGGATTTGTGATTTGTGTTGCATCCCTCCATGGTTATTTTCTCGTTATCCCTTCTAAAAATATTTAGCATAATTGCACTAAGCAGTAGGAACAATGGATCTAACAGAGGCTCGAGTCCCCAGCCCATCCCTTTCCTTTGGGAAGCGGGATGTGCAGGGATGATGCAGGAGAAAGCTCCTCTTGTCTTCTCATCATGGCCTGCAGGTCAGTGTTAATTAACCTCCCCTGCAGAAAGGATCTCTCCTTGAGGAAGTGTGAAAAAGCTGGCAATCTGCAGAGTGGGAATGTGGTCTGGCAGCAGGAATGGGAGATGGAACACCAGGACTGCGGGATGTCCCAGCCTTGCAGGGAACCCTTCACCAGCAGCTTTGTTCTGCCCACCACGTCCCTGCTTTTGGGAGAAGTTGTGGTTATTCGCTGCAAAATGATGTCACTTTTCCCACCAGAAGGTCCTAAAGGCACCACTGGTGCAAATGCATTCCCAGACATTTATGGATGACCAGCCTGAGGAAGGTGGTGTGTCCATCTGTCCCATCCAGTGCCAAAGGGTGAGGATTGTTATGGCTCAACTGGATCCCTTTGGATTTCCCCCTGGGATGCCTTTTATTTACTGTACATTCCAGAGGGCAAACCTGACTGTGCCAGCTCCAATAACCAATGGATTGCTCTGGGAGGTGTTTCTGAGGGCCCTTCCAAAGTGTTGGAGTAATTTCTCTGGAATTCCTCCCCTGGGTGACCCTGGAAAGAGCCAATACCAATCTGACATTTGCTGGTGCTGCCTTTGCAGCTGAGGCCATTTTCTGAGCAGTTTTCCCTGCCAGTCTTCTCCCAAAAGCACCTGGAATACATGAGCCAAAAAACCAGTGTGCTGCTTTCGTCCCAGCTTTTGCCATCTTGGAATGAGCTTCAGTGCTTCCAAGGGGTGCAGATCCTGCCTGGTGCCTGATTGTCCCTTTGTTTCAGTAGTCAGAGGTTGGTTAATTGTCACTACAATGTCACCAAGAGGGCTGGGTGAGCTCTGTGCTGCAGCTTCTGGAAGCTCTTTGAGTTGCTGAGACAGCTTTCCTTCTTTTTGGTCCTTCATTTTTTCCCTACCTTGTGCTCCTCAGTTTTCTTTTCCTTTGAGTATTTTAGAGACCAAACTTAAAAGTGCAGCACTGACACAGGTTTCCCAAAGAGGCTGTGAAGGCCCCATCCCTGGAAGTGTTCCAGGCCAGGTTGGATGGGGCTTGGAGCAACCTGGGATGAGGGGACACATCCCTGCCCACGGTGGGACCAACCTGTTCTTCAGCATGACCCAACAGCACAGGAAAAAAGGCAGATTTCCCACTCCTGTGAGTTAAAGGGCTGGATTTTTTTGCTCAGATTCTGCTTCCCAAATGGAGCAGCTCCACTTTGGCAGTCTCAGGCTCCCCACGTGCAGGGAAGGCTGACAGTTATGGAAGGGCAGCTGAAGGTCACCCCTCCATTTCGCTGTTATTAACATCCCTAAGAGGCAACGAGCGGGAGAGAGAACGAGTCAAAGTTCATTATTCTCCTAATTAGCAGATTACACAAAAATTCAGTAGCTTCCCCAGAATAAGAGTTAAAGATTGAGTTCACTCACCTGTCCCCACAATTAGCAGCTATAAAGGTGTCACAAGGAAATAAAGTGAGAGAAAGGAAAAGCTCCACTTCAATTTGCCCACGCAGAAGACACAGCAGCTCCGTTGGGAGAGGGGGATGGAGCTCCAGGCTCCCAGATCTGCAGTGCACAAAGGAGAGAGATTTAATGCCCCACTGCAATTTTCTGGCAATTAGCCCCTCCCCAGAAGATGCCATTGACCTCATCAGTCTGGAGATGGAGTTTCACAGTTAATTTTTCCCAGTACCACCCTAATGAACAGAGGCAAAGAAGGAGAAGGAGGCAAGGAGAGGAGTCACTCAGGTAATTTTCTGGTGGAGAAAGCACAGGGGTGCTGAGAGGAGCATGGGGATGAGGTTTGATGAGGTCTTCACTTACCCAAACCCAACACACACACCCTGTGTCTCAGGTGTGGGTGCCAATGCCAGTGTCATATTTCAGACAGAAAATTACATTTTTCCAGTTTCTCGTTTTGCTGCCCAAAGCAGGAAGGAATCTGTGTCTCTATATCTAAAGCTGTCAGGAAACAAAGATAATTACTGCTGTGTCCAAAAGCCCCAGAAAGGAGGGAGTAAAGTGAAACTCTTTCAACAGATGAAAAATCCCAAATCCAACAAGATTTTAAAACAAAAATGCCAAACGCTTTGGTAACATAGGAATGAAACATCCTTATTTTCTCATGATGAAGAGGCTGCTGATTGGTGTGTGACAAATTTTAGGCAGATTCAGGTACATTTGTGACTGCTCCAAACAAGCATTTCTGGCTGAGCAGATTTTGGTGAGCTGGCTTTCATGAGCTCCCACTATCATTTGCCTGCACCTGCCCTTCTGATTTTCTCTTCTCACCGAGGACATCGTGTAAATCCCAGGGATTCTTCATCACTCAGCTGTAATTATTCCAGGGAAAAAGGCTGCTTGCTCTACATAATCTTGTCATTTGCCCAGAGTGTGAAAACATTCTTAATTTAGATGCCATGGCCATGCCATCACCTCCAGAACCTGTTTAATAATAAATCCTTCCATGCCAAGACCTGGAGCATCTCCTGAGGCCAGAGGAGGGACCAATTCCCATTCCTTATCTCCCGAAGAGGTTGGGGATGGCGCCACCCACACATGGGACTTCCCACACCCTCCTCAGTGAGAACTGGAAGGTTTTGATCTGATTACTTCAAAAAACAAGACTTAGGCCATATAAATTGTCCTGGGAGAAATCAGCACAGAATTCCTGGTTATTTAAAGCAGAATTCCAAAGTACATTTCCATACCCACGTCCTCCATCCCACCGGGGCTGCGCTTTCATTTGCGTCTCTTACGGTAGGTATTATAAGTTAATGAAATAGAAATTGATCTTTAAAGGAGCACTTTTCAAGGTTCAGTTGCTATCTAATTAATTTAATTTTAAATTACATCAGTAATAAAGACTTAATTGCCTTCTTATCAATACATTGTATTTAGTAAAGGACATGCGACTATTTGAACACACCATCGCTTTCTTATAGTAGAATAATTGGTATTTTAAGCATACAACTATCATGGTAAGTGTAAAATATTTATTTGTGCACTTAATTTCAAGTGGTATCAAAACCTCAATGAACATGCAAATGTTCCAGCAGCTGCTGTTTAACTCCTTGCCTGCCTCTCCAGGAAAAACAAGGACTCCTCCACGTCAGCGAGAATGGCTGGAATTTCAGTGTGGGGTGATGTAAAGAATATTTGTATGGCTGCACCAATTTTTGATTAGTAAGATTGCATCTTTTTAGGGCATGGGAGGCAGTTTAGTAAATGTGACAGCTTAGAGTGAGGAACTGCAACTTCTATCTCCCTCCTAGTGAGGACTTTGAAGCCTCTTACCTTCATGTGAGTCTTATTTTTGTCTCTGAGATGTTTTTATAACCATTATAAACAGAATCACAGTAAAACACAGACGTGTTTTCTCTGGCTGAAGATTCAGTAACCTCCCTAAGCAGATAAATCAACATCAATCTTTACCCCTTTCCTTTCCTTAGCACAAGAGCTGGATTTTGGAGTGCATAAGCTGCCAGAAAGAATAATTAAATACACCACAACTACCTTTGATTTAAAAATGGCAAGGGGAGAAATTAAATCTTGCAGAAGCCACAACACATCCACAGAACTGTGTGGTAACTTGTCAACTAAATTAATTTCGAGCAGTTCACTTCAACCATAAAAATAATATAAGCTGTGATGTATTTCTTTCATATGTGTGTGTGTGTATATCTATATGTTATACAGCACCATTTAAAAATAGCAGCTTCTACCTGTGAAGTAGCAAGATCAGATATTTCTGAACTGCTTTCAGACCTGTCAACACACCATCACTATTTAGCTTTAATAGATGTTGAGTTTAAAATGCACCACAGAAATATATATTTTTTCAAGATACTCAGTAAATGAGATTTGGGCCACTCTAATTTTTGTTACCTGCTTCTAGCTTCGTGGCATAAGCTGCTGTAATAATTCTTGTTATTATTCTGGTATTTAGTAGCCCACCTAAGATTAATATCTCATGGCTGTGTGCCTTTCCCACCCCATAATGTGCTGGCTCTGCTGGCTCTGGGGGTGTCGGTGCCAGAATTTTTCCACCAGCAGGATTTATTGTGGCATCTTTGTGTTCCTGGTGGGGATTGGCTATGACACTGCTTGCAAAGGTAGATACAAAAAAGGAAGAAGTAGGCTTTTGTGTCTCCTCATTAATCTCTGAGAAATTAAAAAGGAAAAAGGTGAAACATCCCACCTTGGAGAGAGGAAGGCAGCTCCCTGCTGGGAACATCAGCCCTGCTTGGGTCATTTCTCCATAGCCTAATCCTGCTAAAGCAGAGCCTTCAGAAGAGCTGGTGGTCAAAGCAGGAGGTGTCAGAGGCAGGAACTGGTCACTCTGGTGTGGGGCTGTCCACGGCCAGTGGCCTCAGCTCCCACAGGAACCTGCAGAGCAACATCAGGAGCAGCAATTCTGCCACCAAAACTTTGATGCCGTGCACGGATGAGAACCTGCAGCCATCTTTACTCCTGTATTCCCTGCACAGACAATAACTCAGTTTTTTCTCTCTCCCCAGGAGGTTTGTTTCTCCTGCTCGTGTTTCTCTTTGTGATGTGGAAGGAGTTTGCAGCTGACTTCCAGAGGTACATCCTCCTGGAGAGGAGCGAGAGGTGCCTGGATGACGTCCCCGTGCACGTCTACTACGGCTGGTCCTTCATGTTCGCCGCCGCCGGGGTGCCCCTGGCGCTCCTCTCTGGACTCCTCTTCTTCCTGGTGGGCAGAGACATTATGGATTCCCTGCAGTAAGACAAGTGTGGAAAAGGCTTTGAGAAAATTTGGTGATGCTCCTGGTAAAGAAACACACCCAAGTTTTGAGGGTTTGATCGTTTTTGTAGCTCTGATTGTGGGGATAGGTTACACTCACTCTCATGGGGAGGCAGGGATGGAGCACTGAGCATCCACAGAATCCCAGGGTGGTTTGGGTTGGAAGGGACCTTAAAACCCATCCTGTTCCACCCCCTGCCATGGACAGGGACACCTTCCTCTATCCCAGATTGCTCCAAGCCCCACCAACCTGGCCTTGGACACTTCCAGGGATGGGACAGCCACAGCTTCTCTGGGTACCCTCTGCCAGGGTCTCACCACTCTCACAGCCAGGAATTCCTTCCCAATATCCATCCATCCCTGCCCTCTGGCAGTGGGAGCCATTCCCTATATCTTGTCCCTTCATCCCTTGTCCCAAGTGCCTCTCCAGCTCTCCTGGAGCCGCTTTAGGCACTGGAAGGTTTCCCTGGACCTTTTTCTTCTCCAGGTGAGCACCCCCAGCCCTCCCAGCCAGGCTCCGACCACTGCCCATCCCAAACCAGCCCCAGCTGAGATCCAGCTCCAGCCTTTTTCCATTTTGGAGATATTTCAGCACGTTAGTGGGGTTTGCACCAGTTTTTTCCGCAGCCCAAGGGAAAGCAGCTCTCTGTCAGCAGAGCTCCACATCCATATTCAGCAGAGCTGGAGTTTTACAGCATTCCCAGCATCCTGGTTTCTTGTAAAAGGAAATCGAATCTGGCTGTGATGGTGCAAGCAATAATGTCTATTTCTAAAAAGCAATTAAGGATGATTTTTTTTCCTTGGCCAGCTCTAATTGACGTCAAAGGACAACCATTTTAATGGGATGTCGGGAAACATGAGAAACTTTTTTCTTCCTCAAAAGCCCTGATTCTGAAGATACAAATGTACCTGGACCTAACCTAACCTTCAATAAGGGAATAAACTAACTTTTGTGGCTTGAAACATAACATGAATTAATTAGTATTTCTTTACAGCAGTGCTTTACTCTGCATTTAATATTTTCTCTGGATGCAGTTTTGTGGGGATTCCCAACCCAAAAACTGAGAGGTGATCCCAATTGAAGGAAAAGGAAGGGGGGCAATAGCATGATATTGTGATATCACCTTGGGCTGTGCCAGTGCCCCATCAGTTCTTCAAGCAGCAATTTCTCACTATAAATTTGTTTTGAATAATTTTTGTCATTACTCTGAATTTAATATTTTCCCTGGACACAATCTGGAGAAGTTTCTCAATCCAAAAATGAAATGATGATGGGAGCTGGAGGAACGGGAGTGGGGACAATAGTGCTGCTAATTTTTTGGCTTTGTTTTGGTCAGCCCTATCAGGCAGCTCAGCTGGGACTTTGTTGTATTCTATGGACACCTCACAAGAGTCAGATCTAAAACGACAAATTATATAACATTTAACTATATTTAAATTCTTGCAGTAATCCAGGCTGATGTGGCAGTGACCCATTGAAGAGCAATCACCTCTTAATTCTCCACCAAACTATCCAGGTGTACTGGGGGTGAAATAGTTTGTCCTGAATAGGCAGAGGTTTGTAAAGACACTTGAGAAATGACAAAGGTTTGATCTCGTCGTGTTTTTTTGGGCTGGAGCGTGGTGCTTTGAAGTAGTTTGTTGGGTCCTTGTTTGCCGAGCTCATTTGCATAAATTTTAAATCAAACTTCTCAAACCGCGCCGTTCTCGTGGATGTCAGAGTTTGTGCTCAGCTCACATCTCCTGAGCTTTATGTCACACTATTGACTCAGTGCAGTTAATTAATAATGGAATGTAAATCTCTGCTAGGAAGCGCTGAAGATTGTTGGCAGTGTAAAAATGTTTGTTAATGCTCTCCCTAAAATATTATTCAAGTCTGGTGTTTCTTTCCTTTCGGAGCAAGTTCTAATTATTCTTTTACAAGATTCATGGCATACACAGAGTGAGGAATTGTAATTCCCCCATGTAAAGATTAGTTCTTTCCTATGAATAACAGGCTTGGGCTACAGTTCTTTAGCAATATCCACACTGTTTTCCCTTAATAGAAATTTTGTTTGAATAGAATTGGGATGTGCAGGTAAAAAAATAATGGTTTTTTTTCCCCAGTGAATGGATGTTTCATGACATTCCCAAATACACAGAGATTTTAGTCTTTTATTTGGCCATTCTAAACTGTTTTTTTTTAACTGATTCTCCTTGGGTTAACTCTGTTCCCCATCAGTTCTTCAAGGTATAATTTCTCACTACAAAATCCCTTTGAATAATTTTTGTCATTTAATTATCTATTCAATGTGGAGATGAACACTTATGGTCACAAAGAATAAAAGTATACAATCCAGGAGCAGAAGAGGTCAAGATTTACAGTCACTTGCCTTTCACTGATCCCATAAAACAATCCAAGCATGCAGAAATGATGATCCCATAAGAGACACCAGGGCAGAAGAATGAGAATGCAGCAAGAAATCCATCAGACTTATTGATATCTGTGAAGCTGAGGATCCCTGAAGTTGTGAATATAGAAGTGAGTTTTATATTATAGAATGAAATATTTATTAACTTTCTCCATCTGTTCTTTAAAAAATTTAGTTTAATGTCATCAAGGCATTTATGGAATACATTTAGCTTAATCATGCATTCATGCCTTGGGGAGTAAAGCATCCCTGGAGACCTGCTCTTTCTGGATCAGCTCTAGAACAAGAAATAGTTTAAAATTCCATCATTCTTTGGAAATAAACCACATGGCTTTGAATCATTCTTGAACAGAGGGCGTTTTATTTTAAATATCTGGTATTGAGCACATCCAATTGTTGTCTGGTATTGAGCTTTTGGATAACTTCATCAAATCCCTGGATTTCCCAAAGATTTGGAAAACCTCTCAATATTTGGTATGTATCTAATAGTCACAGCACTAAGAAAGAATGAGATTGTAGAGCTGCATAATTAAAGCAATTAACTCTTTCATTAAAATTCCATGTTTACTGCCAGCACAAGGCCAAATACATCATCTTGGTGGATTAAAGACTCCAATTCCTTTGCTCTCAAGTTTCTCATGGCTAGTATAACTCAAGCAGACAAAATTTGCTGTGAGAGTCATCACTTCTGTAGGAGAAATTTTAAAAAAAGGAACTCATGGGCTCAGTGGTAGAGTTGGAAATTGCAGAAACCACGTTCGCTTTCATCTGTTGAATGTGAAGTTTGATGAAAGGATATTATAGAGTAGTGACAAGGACCTAATTCTGATCCAAGTTTTGTCATTATAAATCATGAGTAATTCCGAAGGCTGCAGCAGACCCTTATCACTGCTAAACATCTGTAAGTCAGATCAGAACCGGGACTAATAAATACATTCAAAATGCATAATTAAAACAGTGATTTCACATCACTCTGATGAATTTTAGTCAAGGATTTCTTCAAGGATGCTTTTCTCACATTAGCATTTGATGTTAGTAAGCAATGAATAATTCCATTTTTTCTTTCCAACATCTGGGACACTTCCTGCTTTATTTGCTACTTACTGAGCGCTCTGCAGGAAATATTAATGAATCCTGGGTGTTGAAACATGGGCCCTGTGGATCGTGCTCAGGAGGCAGCCTGACGTAGGAGAGGTGTCTTGAGATTAAGAGCTTGATTTTGGTGAAAGATATTGGGAGATTTGCCAAACCTGAGGGAGATGCAGGGATTTGGGGAGGTCACCCAAAAGTCCCTGTGGCAACTTCTTTCATGCCATGGAGCTCTTCCCTCGTACCTAAGAGACAACAATTAATAATAAAGGTTTTTCCCCTTGGTCAGATCAGCTGTTTTTGCTGTGATTCTGGAAGCCAGCACCCAAGAATGCCCCAAGGCTGGGAAGGTGTTTCCCCTTGGTCAGATCAGCTGTTTTTGCTGTGATTCTGGAAGCCAGCACCCAAGGATGCCCCAAGGCTGGGAAGGTGCTGGCGCTGGCTCCACCTCATCCAAGGAGAGATGGAACAGGGGACCAGCACGCCCTGAGAGCATCACTGCCCTGCCCAGCTGCTTCCTCACCCCTCCAGAGGCCTGGAGGTCTTTCTCTTCCTTGGGAGATTGTGAAATTCTGTGTTTGAAGAGCTCTGCTGGTCCTTCAGAGCAACCTGTGGAGGAAACCTGAGCTGAGCACCAGGTGAGCTTCCAAAGGAGGAATTAAATGTCCTTCTGTGTTAGTGTGAAGTGACTTTGACAGTTCAGCATCTGACCAAGGAGGTGAAAACACCCTCTGCCATGGAAAACAGGTAAGTTGGAACTTTCCCAGCTTCATTCCAGCTGGGTGTACAACAGCCCCTCTGGGATTTATTACAAACCTTCCCATTTTTATTTTTGTTGTCCGGAAAAACTCATCTTATCTGTGCAGGTCCTGTTTTGACCTTGGTCAGGCACATTCCTCGGTGGCTCCTGTAACAAAATGTGAGTGTGGAGAACCTGGATTCCCTCTGGAGCTGCTCCTTAAGGACCCTTTGTCCTCTCAGTGCCCCCAGAACCCTCTGGAGAGGGGAAGTGCTGGGTGTTCCATCCCTATGGGAGATGCTCACGGCCCCTTTCCTGCAGCAGCCCCATCCTGCTGGCTCAGCACCTCCAGGCAGTGCTGGGGGGAGGCGCAGATGTGGAGCAGCAAATGAAGGCAGAGACCAAATTAAAACAAATGGGGAGAGGGGCTTGGGCTCCACGCTCTGCACTGGGGCAGGACTCACCAGATCAGGCAGAGCCCCCTTTACAAGAGAGCACAGCACCTCAGTCCCAGAATCAATAAGCTGTACATGCTGCAGCACAAAGAGCTCTTATCTGCAGTACCACTTTGAATTTAGTGAATTTATTTAATCCCTGATGCCTGCAGAGCATCAGTCCTGTCTTCTGGGTTAATTTATTTATTCCGGTGATGTATTTTTAGTCTTTCAAGTCCTTGACATTTGAGAAGCAGATTTTTTCCCCCCCTTGTTCCCTAAAAAACATCTGAATTGGGAAAAAACTAT